AGAAAATAGGAAGATCATTTTGCTTTACTGGTTAAGAATCTCAGTAATCTGCAAGATGTTCCCTCGGAGATTATTGCTGTGTTCTGCCGGGAAAGAGGTGAATTAACACAGTGGGCATCTTGTTCTCTATTGCACATTGGCAACTGCAAACGATATGCAAGTATGATTGGGGGGGGCAGGGGATGACCCCCACCTGATAATAGCATAAGAGGGTTTGTTTGGTGTAGTCACCGAGTGACGAGATCTGCTGGCACAGCAGTCACCTTAATATGACCTACTGACTTGCTAGAAGATGTTTACCGTGGGCTGTCTAATCTCTTAGCCAGAGGAAATTAGAAGAAAGAAAAGAAAAGGGAAAGGAAAAAAAAAATATCCAGCGATGTAATTACTGCAGCTCCAAGAGTGCACCCGCATCGCGATGCTCGTCCCACCGCCGGGAACGTGGCCGTGGGCAGCGCGGGTCCCCCCGGCGCGGCCGGTTTGCGCCCACCCGCCTGCGTGCTCCAGGTGAAGGCCCCTCCCTGCACAGGGACGACGCAGGTCGGCCTGTGAATTCTTTACAGGCTGTGGCTCGCTCCCTGCTGATGATTGGATTATATTAGTATTAGGTGTGTAGCTAGGTGAGATTTATGCTACTGAATCTAGCCTGTTTCTCCCTCCGCTTTGTAGGTGTGGCTTCTTAAATGCATCACAGCTTTACCTAGTTTTGAGTTACCATCTCCCACTGCAGGGAGGGAAATGTTTCATACCTGTTTGCTGCATTGCTTTTTCAGGGTGTTGGCTTGCTGAGTTGGGTTTCATCTCCACGAAATCTATCTATGCTGTAGAGGGGGAAGCTCATAATATAAAACACTCAGATAAATCCCTCTAGGTACTGCTATCATGAGACATTTTTGTATGTTTTAAGACCCTCCCTGCTAACTGTCAAGCAGATGGGGACATCAATAAATTATAATTTGTTAATAAATTCTTGTGTCCACACATACAACTTTGCTAACCCTTCCAAACAGATTTTTCATTTTTCGATATTATGAATGGTGTCTGACATCTCAGAGCTATCAGGGCTTCCTTTTCTCTTTAGTTATTCTGTTCTTTAGGATGGCATCTATTTCTGTGTCTGTCTACTTCTTGTATTACTTCTCTCACATAAGCATCTCAATTAAGGCTGTTAGCATTCTTTCTCCAGTTGGTTATATTTGTTTTCCTTTGCTTCTGGGAATCCTTTACACTGATTTCTAGTTATGTTGCAGTGTAATTTTACTGCTAAATGGGCACTGAAAGAGAATTCCTTCCTGTCCTGGGAACAATTTCCTGATGCACTGATGATACAATGGCTCACTGTTCTTTCCCAATAATAATTGGGCATATTTTGCATTAATAGGGGTTCAAACGCTTATGAAGCAAATTTCTGAGCCTCTTTTTTTTTTGCTGTGAAAGTCTGTAGACAGTTTGAGACATGTAACACAATTACATGCCTACAGTACCTAACCCGTATAAATATCTGATATTTTTTCAATGTTAATATGCTTAAATTAAAATATTAGGTTAGTCACATATGCAATCTTAGTTACCTTTCATATCTGCCAGCTGCTATGTAGAAATTTCTAGTCTTTTTTCTCAGGCTGTCTGGTAAGTAATTTGAATGTGTACTCCCCTCCCCTCATTGGTGCCATGAACTAGAAAGATTTGCAGGCTTGTACTTTATTCTGAACTCAGGATAACCACAGGTACTCCCAACACAGTGCAATACTGGGAAAATCCTATTCCATTTCCTCAGTGACAAAGATTCAATGAAAAAAGTCTGGTTATAAAAATTCTTCTTTCCTTCTTGCCCTCTCTCCAATCTGATGAAAAGGATTTATATGTAATAACTCTGACTCGAAGAGGACTGTTTGCATTCAAATAGGGCCCAAAAGCCATCACCATCCATTGGTTCCTGAGAAATTGTATTATGTTTGCTGCCCACTTTTTAGTAGAAAAATGCATGTCTCACACTATCTGCTGTCACATTCAGTACCTGCAAATAAATAATAATGAATGGGACATGTAAGCCACATGTTATTGATAAGCTCTTTTTTTTGGTATTGATATGAGTTAGCAAGGCTGTTCAGAGAGACTTGTATTGAGTTCAAGCGCAGCCATGCCTCTTCTATGAAAGAATAAAGATAATCCCCTTGCCTTCAGAAGCTCTAGTTCACTCTTATTTTAATTTTATTCTTTAATGAGGGGATGTCTGTTCTGCATATGCAATAATATTAGCTTTTCCACTTCTCTCAAATGGAAGAATAAAGCTTTACATGTCTAACCTTTTCTTACATTATGTAGCTGGATCTATGTTAATATTTTTTCATGCTTCTGTATTTCCTGTAGCTGACAACTTCATTTTCTTGGAGTTTGTACTTAGCATACAGTATAGTCAAGCCTGTTATCTTTCTCCTTGTAACAGTGTAGTCGTAAAGCAATGAGTGTTCATTGGCTGTTGAGGTATTTTACCAATATATGTTTGTCATTACTTGCTTCATTTTCATCAAAGTGCATGGCTACAAAACAATATTTTGCCTTTTTCTGTATTTTTTTAAATTCATTTATGTTTTCTGTTACTGCATCTGCTTAACAGTAGCAGATTTTATTGCAGAGGTTCTGCTTTTAAAAGCCAACCAGCTCCTCTGGTCACTGCTTTCTGAGACTTGTTTTTAAATTAAGTTATGCTGACCAAACCCCTATCTCTCTTGTATAAAAAGGAACTGCTGCCTTTGATGCAAGTTTCTAAAGGAGTTTGAGACTTTGCAAGATGTAAATAGTGTAACCAGCCAAGAAGACTTACAATGTCAAGAGTGTCAGCTGAAAATGTCGTGGTTTGGGCCTGGTTGGCAGCCAACCACAATGCAGCAGCTCTCTCTCCCTTCCCCTCCGGCAATGAGAAGGGACAGAGAGCCAGGCTTGGGGTCCGAGATAGGACTGGGATGGGGAGAAAATTCCCCTTTATGATCACGAGCAAAAGGCAGACTCGTTAGGGGAAGAAAAAAAAGAACATACATTTATTACAGACCCTAACAACACATAACAGAGTAGGACAGTGAGAAGCATTGCCACCTCTTGAGAACACCTTCCCCCCACCCCTCCCTTCTTCCCGGGCTCAGCTCTGCTCCCGATATCTCTACCTCCTCCCCCAGTGGCGCAGGGGCAGGGAATGGGGGGTGCAGTCAGCGCTGCCACTTCCCTTATCTTCGGTGAGGGGAGTGTCTGGAACTTGTTCCTCCTGCTCCATCGTGGTCCCCCTCTCACAGGAGACAGTCCTCCACAAACTTTCTCCAACATGAATTCCTCCCATGGGCCGCAGCGTTCCCCACACTGCTCCGTCATGGGTCACTAACTTCCTCCAACTGGATTCCCTCCCACGGCTGCAGCCCTTCCCGAGCTGCTCCGGCGTGGGACTCCCCCACATGCTGCAATCCTCCCAGCACTGAATTACAGCAGCGGGGCTGCCTTTTCCCATGAGACCCCGGCCTTCTTCGGGCACAGCACCTTGATCAGCTGAGCAGGAGCAACAGGCCATAAATCAATGTCTGCTCCACCGTAGATCTTCATGGGTGGCGGGGGGGTCCGCCCTGCCGTCTCCCCAGAGGATACAGGGGGGTCTCTGCTCCGGCACACCTCCCCCCTCCTTTCTTCCTCTGTTCCTCCACTGACCTTGGTGTTCACGCAGCTGCAGCAACTCCTCCTCACAAGTCCAACTGCCCATCACCACATCCCTTCTTAAATACGTTATCGCAGAGGCGCAGCCGATTGGCTCAATTTCCCAAACAGAAGTGGAGCTGACGTGGAGCTGGGGGAGCTTCGAGAAGCTTCTCACAGGGGGCCGCCCCGATAGCCCCCTCCCCTGCCACCAAAAATCTCCACCACTCACTCAACCCAGAACAGAAGAGAAAAACTGATTCCCCAGAAAATGTTTATATGGTTCTACTTGATCTGAGAATGCTATACCAGATAACATAGGTTTTGATTCCTTTACTCATTGATCTGTATTTAAGCATGTATTCATGTGCACACTGTAAACACATCGGTATTTTGCTTTCTGAAGGAAAATATGCAGATAGGAGGATCTGATAGTACTTTAAAGTGTTTGAGCACTTGATTAAAGGGCAAGCAAGACAGAAGCCTAATTTCTTCTGATTTGTTTCTTTTAATTGAAATAATAAAATGCATAATATTATTTCTTCTCTTTTATACACATTTATTTCCTGAGCTTATAGCTTGTACTTTTTAAAGCTACAATATAGTTGATTTTTCCCCTACCATCATTCTGCTCTTAAGAGGGATACAGAAGTGACTCACTTTCTGCCTAATGCTGCCTTTAATTGATGACTCATCTACTCATCCCACCATTAGTGGTCTCTTATGCACTGAGGTTGAGCAGTAGGTGTTCCACGTAGCCTCCTATTTAGACACAGACTGTTACAGTGTCGTTCTTCAGGCATAGATGTGCCTCGGCCTATTTGGCAACAGCTTTCTGATGTTTTCCCCGATCAATCGTTACAACAGAAAAGGAACCACCCACTGACAGATCCCAAAGGAAGAGGAATGCATCTTTACAGCCGAAATATTCAAAAGCTTCTGGAAGCCTTTCACTCCTGAACAGAGATGGTACCTCTCTCACTCGAGTCTGTGACATGTGAAGCTTCTTAACATGAAAAAAGGGAAATTTCTGTGATTATGTTAAAACTGAAAAGGCCTTTTTATATGAAGCCTGTCATCAACTAAGCGTTATCTCTGATTTGAATTTTACCCTATCCTTTTCAGCTCTGCTATTCAAAGCCTTTGTCATCGAGTCTAAACATGATATTGAGCATTGAGTCAGCATTCAGAAATACCCGTCCTCATGTAGCTCACAGCAGCTCTTGTGCTCTGCATTGCTGGTTCACACAGTATTTGGCTAAAAACTATATTGTTTTTAACATTATATTTAACAGTAACTGGAAGTGTTGCTTGTTTCTGTTTAGATGAGAGTCCTTACACAAAGTCTGCAAACCAGGCAAAGGCACCTGATGGAGCACTGTCTGTGAGGAGACAGAGTATTCCAGGTAAGACTTTGCTTTGCTTTTTATAACACCTAACTTGTTTGTAGACAGCAAGGTAATATTAATCAAAATTCAACTAGTTATAAAAAGCAAATGAATTACAATTACTACCAAGCAACTTTATGAGGAAGGTTCCGTGGGAGCTGTAAGGAGTTTCCACAGTTAGGTTACCTCAAGCTTTTGCTATGAAGAACATCCCCGTGTCTCTGTCTTTTGCAGCAGATTTCAGACATTGATCACAACAACGTTTTCATCAGAGGCTCGCGTATTTTCAGGCCCCGTGAAATCTGCTCTTTGATATATGGTTTCAATGGTGTAGGGAGATTGGCTCATATTTTCCACTGCTGATCTGACAAGCTTAGAAATCTAGCAGAGCAACAGTCTGTCAGAGTTCTCATCTCCGTGTAATTTTCTGCCACACGTATGCCCATCCTTGTCTTTTCTGTTATCACATCGCACAGAGCTGGACCACTGGTTAAATAGTTAATATATGTGATCTTCAAACCTGTATCTCTTCTAATTACTTCAGACAAGTCTGAAAAATATGCCCATGAAACACAAGTTTTGTATATATTATGCAGCAATCTAAAGGGATTTTCACCTCAAGTAAAATTTTAGAGAACTTTTAATGAAAACAAATGAATACTGTCAAGGGTTGTGCACAGGCAGAATAACTGATGTTGCCAGTCTCACCTCAAGCACAGTAACCTCTGACTCAAAGGGAAGATGCATTGCAATAGAAATCAGAAACTGTAAGGTCATGTCACCCACCTTCTAATGACTGATGTTAATATTCTCTGTACTCCATGGCCTTTTTATTGAGCAAAGTCACACAACACCCAGGGAGGCTATGGATACAGGGGAAGGAGCTCAGACCTTTACCACTGCCAGGCTCAGATCTCATCTCCATTGCTATAGTGGTTTTGAAAGGCCAAAGTACATGTTTTGTGGATGCTTTGTGTGCATGTGTGAGAGAGAGCAAGCTGGATGATTTACTGCTTCTCCTAATGAACATTTTGTCTGTTGAAAACATCCTAGTCATTTAAAGATTGTTATTTTTATGGTAGAATCTTGAAGATCATAACCATTGTGAAATGACACAACTGCAGTGTCCAGTGTGCAGTTATTGTTATGAGAAAATCCTTAATTATACAAACACATACTAGGTTTTTTTTTTTCTCCAAGTCAATACAAATCAAAATTCATTCTTCTTAAGAGTGAATTAAGACCTCTTCAAGTAATGCTTTAGCTTATAGGTCACTAATATTTAGCATACTAAGTATCTTTTTTCTTTTTTCAATCTTTTTAATTTTTTCACTGTGAACTTAGTAATTATAATTTATGGTGTGGTTACTGTATTTATAAAACATTTATGCTAAGGTCTGAATACAGACTGAGGTTCATGGTTTCACATGACATTTTGAGAACTGATGATTTTTGCTTGTACTCTTTAAAGAGAAGGTTGGATGAAAATTTAACCAGGACAGTTTTTCTTTAAAGCATTTGATAGGATTAGGAATTTCAAGTGTTGAACAGTCATCATGACCAATGACCATTTATTTTGATTTTTTTCTAAATTTGCTGTATATTCTGGAGTTTTTGAGAGCATTGCAGGTAAATCCTGCCTGTGTGCTGCTCTGCATAAGTCACAGTTTGTTTAGAGATATAATGCTGACAAGTGTTTGGTGAGATGTACTCTGTTTTATTTCAGGTGTTCTGAAAAAAAATATCTAAGCTTATCTATGTTCTTCAGCTTTTAATATAGTGAAGACATTTATCTTAATGCATTGTTGCATCTCTAGGCCTTAGGAGCCCCAAAGGATAAATGAGATTGAGCTGGTTGGATATTTGAAAAAAAAAATAATTAAAACTTCTTCATGGCCTGACAAATTCATATTCTAGCATGGTAGATATAAGTTTAGATAATAAATAGCTTTGTAAAACTAAATACTATCTTAAGAAGTTACTTGAACATTTAGGAGTTTACTGAATTTTCTGAAAATAACCCATAAACATTTGTATCACCTGGACACTGAGAAAATTTGACCCCACATTTCATATGTAAGCTATCACCTTGTAAATAGCATCTCTTCTTGTTTGTCTGTGGGCTGTTTATCCACGTTATGGATTAGCCTTGGCACGGTTATGGAAGCATCCCAGCTAGGCGGCTTGGCTTGGCAGTAGGAGATGTACTAGTAGTATTAACTAGTAGAATTAACTAGTTTGAGACCAGAAGTAGTACATCTGCTTTTGGTTGGGGGCAGGATCAGGCTTCTGACAGTATGTAGGTCAGCTCCAAATAGCTTTTGAATTGGAAAGTATGATGCAATGAGTCTGGTAAACTCTTCTAGACCTGGATGGAGACATGTCAGCTGGGGTTACTGTTAGTAATCCTTAAATGGAGAGCATACACTGTATGGAAGACATTCATTTCTATTCACCCCAGATGGTATGCCTGATAAAACATCACATTCCTGAAGTGCTGTTTTTTCAAGCCTGAAGCCTGGCAGTGCCTTTGACAGTATAGCTGTCTAATCCAGTTGACGCTCTGTCATTCCTGAGACATGGACAGCAAATGTCCTATTCCCCAGGAATGCTCTGGCCATTGAATCAGCCAAGAGAAAACTTTGGGTTTTTAAAAAGGTAAATGATCTTATCCTGAGCTTTGCACAGGTTTGAACAGTCTGTGGAAAAAATGCTAGTGAAAACGTAGATCCAGGCTGCGTGATGTATACTCCCAGAGTAGTGTGGGGTTGTGTCATCTCCCTTTTCCTTGGTGAAGGTTTCTTCTCACGACATTTGTATTCACCTTAAGGGATTCCAGTGCTGCTTCTTTTGGCCAGATATCAAAAAGGGAGAGCTTTTGTTGCTGTGAGACCCGAAACTACTATACCAACTGTAAACCTCAAAAGATTGTTTTTATCCTTCCATGTGAAACTGTATTGAAAGTGCAGTATTGGTGAGCAAAGACTGAATGCACGGAGAAGTAATATGATTCTATAGAGGTTACATGGAGATCAGGCTTGGTTTATTTTACAGGAAAAAAACGTTGAAATAATCATTTTATAATTAAAGTCAAATGAACACATACTGTGAGATCAGTGCACTGAGTTTAATTCCTTTCATCCCCAGAAGCAGGGATTGGATTAAGCATCTCTCTGGAGCAGAACTTGCTTGCTTAAGATGCAGAATGCATTATTCATGTGATGAGACTACATGTCATATTTATCATGTCTTCACATGGTACAAAATTAACAAGCAACAGATCCTTTCAAAGGAATTTACAGAATTGCTGAAATTATAGTTAATTCAAATTATATGGATTAATATAATTGCAGTTTGAAACTTAGACTTAATTTTGCAGATGTGTAGGTGTTTAGTTATAGCTATATATATATGTTTATTTGAGACATTATTTAGCTTTACAGTCAGAAGTTCCTAATGTAAAAATGAGGCTTGAGGTATCACCAGCATGACAAGCAGCCTGGAAAGTAAGGAACAGATTTTCTCCTCTGAACTTTTAAATTTAGACTATTGACCAGTATATAATGAAATCTTATTGCTACTCTGCCCGTGTGGTAGGTTACGGAAGCCAAGGGGCTGGGTACTGAGCCTGTTCAGGGAACTAGCACTGTCAGATTAGTATTTAGGCACGTAAATGAAAGCAATGTGTTTCGAAATTCACAGATAAGACCCTTCCCTCAGAATCACAGATGCAGTTAAAAACATCTGTCAAAATATTTGATACTCACTTGTCAGCTAACCTCTTGAATGCCTAGGTTTAGGTGGCTGTAGTTCCCGTTGAGTTCCTGGGCTGAGGTTTCCTCCTGGCTTGCCAAGGGACCAAAGAGGTGCCTGGCCGAGGGGAAGCATTAGGTCAATGGTGCTTGAGTCAAAGGTGTTGTTCCTGTGGCTGATTATTCCTGCCGGAGCTTTAAAAAGGGTATCAAATATTACAACAGTTCTGATACAATGTCAAGAGCTGATGACACTGTTCGAGAGACACTTTGAAATCAAGGAGACATTAACATACGCTTAAAGATAAGCGTGTTAGTTCTGCCCTGAATATGGACAGGCTGAATAGCTTCTCCCATGCTTTCCAGACTAGAATCCAATGCCCTCTTATCTGTGCCAACAATATGGAGAAATCTGTCAACGCTAATGCTGTCCAAATTGTTTGCTTCATTTATTTATTTACTTGTCTATTTTCAGTTCACTCACTGACACCTGGGGGGGCTGGAGGGGAAAGAAATGACCTGACACAAGCAGAAAAATAATTCCTCCATGAACCAAAATGTACACCATAAATATGAGGCTGATTAAAATATTTAATAAAATCTGCAACAAAAGTTTCATTTTGTTTTTAGTCCAATTCTGTATGTGCTTTTTATTGAGTCTTAAAAATTAGTATTACTAAAAAATATTTTTGAATATGTAGTCCAAAACCTCATTTTTTAAAGAGGTGAACTGTTTCGGCTTCTTAATGTTTTCTTTTTGTTGGCTGAAGTCATTAGTAAGTTTCAGTTAAATTCTGCATATAGCTTGGGTTGGGTCTAAAGTCTTTTTTTTTTTTTTTTTTTTTTTTTTTAAGGGAAAAGCTAATTTGTACCCAATCTATTTGACATAAAATTTAAAAAATCCATACTTGTACATCTACTGACTCAGACATCTGCACTATGGGGGACTTCTAGAAATGTGAAGTTTTATTGCCTGAAGTGGTCAAGGGCTCAACTATAGTTATTACAGTCAACAACTGTAATGAAAACTGTAGTCTGAGAGAGCTATTTGAATCATCTGTGAATTCAGAGATTTAGTTTAGATAGCAGGATTGCAGTCATGTAGCTGTCTCTCCTCTAAGTAAATTCTTGTTCAAAGAACTAATGCCAAATAACAAGGAGACATAATGAGAATATTTCCTCAGAGGAAATTTCCTTTTCTCTGGGACAGAAGAATAACATGGCTGCCTGCCTTCTGCCCTGCTCAACACACCTGGCGAAAGGTCC